TACTGCAATGCTCTTGTTGGGTCCGGCGAGGAGCTCTCCAGCGGATTTCTTGTCAATGTGAGTTTAGTTCTTGATCTGGTCTGCTCTTTCTATCCCTGGATAGTTTAATTCTGTTTCAATTTGGTGTTTTTTCGTCCTATTACCGGTGGTGGTGGTGGTGGTGGTGGTGGTGGCCTGGTGGGCAGTGGTCGCAGCGGAGAGTAAGGAAGATGATGAATTTTGCCCCTAATGTTTAAGATAAGCTTTGACTCACCAGCTTGTGATCCTAGCGGTTCCATTTTATCCCCTTCCAACGTACGGCAAGCCGTTGACTTACAATTCTAACCGCGTAGATAGATCTTCATCGTAGGTAATGTAGTCGCGCTGTTAATCATTGTTTTCACCAATCAAAAATCGTCACATGTCGGCACCCCTTTTCTTTTCCGTTAATAATTAATATCATCCATGTTCAAGATTTCTTACCAGTTATTCCATTCCATCCTTCAAATTTCAGAACCTCTCCTCTGCCTTGATCTCTGCTGACTGTAAAGATTTTGAATTGAGAAAATTGCATAATGGGAAATGCTCTTAGGTTGCTATATAAGCACTGCTGCTACCCCACCACCACCGGAGATTCTGAATCACTTGGTCCCCATGGCGTCTCCGCCACCACCGTGGGGGTTTCAGCCCTTGCCCATGATCTCTTTCAATTTGAAATTACCTCCCAGGTATGTTCCATCACCATCTTCTGCTGCATTGATCCAAGCAAGAATTTTGTTTGCCTTTTTGTGAATCTTGCTAAAAGTTGCGGTTAGTTCTATGTTTTTTATGTTGCTTAACAAGAATTTGGGTTGATTTTATTTTTGTCATGAATTAATTACAATGCCTTGCCGGCATGTTTTGGATATAGGTTCCTGAAGGACTCAGTAAGCATGTTGTATCATCCAAGAAGGCTCAAGCGAACTGGTAATTAACATTCTTTTAAGGATAGTATTCATTCTTGATTTTCCTTAGTAATTAGAGGATCTTAAAGAAATTTTATTATTGATTGACTTCAATTTCAAGGGGAAGAACAGTAATAATTCGATATCAGCAGATAATGCACTTGCTGGATTTACACAGTTGTGGCTTTTGTGCTGTGTCTAAATTATGATAACATTTAAAGGTACAGAAAGCTACTAGATGCATGGAGAGAAGCTAAACCACCACCAAAAACACCTGAAGAAGCAACTAGGCTTGTTGTCCGGACCTTGAAGAGGCATCAGAAGGCAGATGTTGAGGTACAGATGTAAAGATGAATTGAAAGTGTGTTGATCTTGTTACAATTTACCTTAAAACAAGAGAACAAGGAAATAACCGTTTCAAGGATTGTTTTGTACTCTGATGTTTATAGGGATTGCTGAAATTCTATGGTCTTCCCCTTCCTCAAGCACTTGTTGAACTTTCTCCTGATGTCCAAACATCATTGCCTGAGGGAATACAGTTTGAATTGAACACACTACCGGTTAGTACTTAATCTCTTTCAGATCTTAGAATTAAGATAAGGAATTACATTTGGATAAAGGGTTTTAAAGTGGAAATTACTCCTGCTTTAATCAGGTGGATGCAAGGGCAGTACCAGATGGGGATACCTTAACAGTGTACGTTAGTACCACTGATCCAAGGGAGTCATCAATTGTTCCAAGAGACGTACAGGTTGCAGCTGTTCAAAGATCCAAAGCACGCACAGAGAAGAATTATGCAAGGGCAGATGCACTTCACAAGAAAATCACTGATTTGGGATATCGGTAGGCGATCTAACTTGCTAGAAATGAATTATGCTTAAACTAGTTGTTTCTGATGGGCTTCTCTTCTCAACCCTAGGGTTTTAAATGTTCAAAATGAGGAGGTCCTTGCTCGAAAATATCGTGTTCGACTAAGGTAAAGCTATATGCTACAGGGTTTCAGTACTTCTATCAGATAAATCCTGTTTATAATCAATAATGGCAGTGATTAACAGTTAACAATTATTGAAATTAATTAGGGGTATTGATGCACCGGAGAGTTCAATGCCATATGGGAAAGACGCAAAAGAAGAGTTGGTTAAGCTTGTTCAAGGGAAGTCTTTAAGAATTCTAGTATATGGGGAAGATCGTTATGGTCGTTGTGTGGGTGATGTCTACTGCAACGGTGTATTTGTACAGGTACTATATTGATTTAGCTTCAATCATCTTTCATACTTGTTGTCAACCAAATTAGTCAGATATTCTTTGCCAAACAGGAAGTAATGCTCAAGAAAGGATTTGCATGGCATTACACAGCCTACGACCACCGCTTACAGCTTGAAAATGTGAGTGATCAATAGCAATTTATGCTAAATTAATCACTAATCTTCCATTGTATTGCTTCATTGTATCGATTCTTAATCTTTTATACTTGAATGATATCAGTGGGAAAAAGAAGCTCGAGCAAAGCGAGTTGGCTTATGGGCTTCTTCAAATCCTCAGAAGCCATGGGAATATAGAAAGGATAAACGAGAAGGCAGATAACGCATTTTTCCCCCTTCAGATACAAGTAATCTTCTGCTACATTAACCATTTGGTACATCCAGAATTTAAAGGCAGTCCTAACTTTGATTCAAGACTAGGGTTCCACAGCTGAACAGAGGAAGAAACTGCAGATTCATCTTTTCAGAATTTGTGTATTATTATCACGAAAAAGTACTTCACAATTTAAATCGTAAAATACTGAAAGCTTTTAATATTAGAGGTTATTTAAAAGTTTATATTTTATAATTTAAATTGTAAAATAATATTCTCTTATTATCAATCATTTTTATTTAAAGAGTGTTGTAATATTTGAATTGACAGCCTGAGGAAAAACAAAAAGGATTTGTTATTGCTTATTATCATAGTACAAATAATCTCGGAATGTGAAATACAGTACCTGAGATATTTGTGTATGGATTTTTATTTTTTGTTGGAAAGTGTATGATCTTGTTCAGGCTTCGCTAGAGATTGCTAGATTGTGTTTTATTATAAGTTCTTTTCGTCTTTCATTTTTTTTTCTTCAAAAAAAAAAGAAGATATTTATTAAAAATTTTTTAAATATTAAATATTAAGTTAAAATTAATTATTATGATAAATTTGTAATTTTAAAAAATATGACCGTGAGAAAAAGTGCTGTGACCTGGGACCAGAGCATCCATCCAAATAACAGCAATGGATATTTTTGTGACCAATGGATCCACTTTCACAAAACCATACGATGATGGTTTCAGCCTACTTTTGTGCCTTAAGTAGGCCCATAAGTCAGTTGTTTAGAATTAAAAACTATTTTTTTTCCCATCGGAAAAGGCATGGTGTGTCATTTGACTCATTTCTTGGTTTGCTTGGGTTGGATTCTCTGCCTTAAAAATCATTGCTTTTGCTAGGCGGCGCTGGCACTGTTCCACCAAATCAAAAAGGAAAAAAAAAAAGGTAGAGAAGATTATTAGACTAGGAGGATCAAAAGTTGTCATCCGTGCAACAGTAGATGCTTCTCCATTTCCCAGACCTCACTTCTCCCTTTTCTGTCTCTGCTGCCTGCGAAAGGTTTAGACTTCAGACTGAGAGAGCAACAATAAGATGGGAAATGTTCTTAGGTCCTTGTATGGGTGCTGCTGCAAGCCCACCACCACTGGAGATTCCGACTATCTGGGGCCCCATGGCATCTCCGCCTCCACCGTTGGTGTCTCAGCTCTTGCACATGATCTCTTCAATTTTGAAAATACCTCCCAGGTACGTTTCAGGGTATTCATGCTCCGATCCCAGCCTGTGTTTTCTTTTTCTTTCTTTCTATTAGCTTACAGTGAGCTTAAACAGGAAATATGGGTTAAAAAATTGAACTTTGTCTTAGGTTCCTGAAGGGCTCAGCAAGCATGTTCAGTCATCCAAGAAGGCTCAGGCTAAATGGTATGTATTGTTATCATATTATTGACTCAGTAATTGCTTAATTAATTTCAAGTTATTGACTGGTTTTCATGGCTTCCTATGTGTTGAAGAAAATAATTTTATGTACCCAAATTTGGGTTTTTGTGGTCTGACTAAATTTTGGGAACAAAATGAAGGTATAGAAAGCTGTTAGAGGCATGGAGAGAGGCAAAACCCCCACCTAAAACACCAGAAGAAGCTGCTAGGCTTGTCATCCAGACTCTGGAGGGGCATCAACAGGCAGATGTTGAGGTACATTAAAGAAAAGAGAAACAAAAGCGTTGATCCGTTTCATATTATCCTTAGAACTAAAGAAAGAAGGGGTTAATGCGTTTCAGATTGTTCTGTACTTTGATGTTTTATAGGGATTATTGGCATTCTATGGTCTTCCTCTACGTCATACTCTCATCCAACTTTCTGCTGAAATTCCAACATCATTGCCTGAAGGGATTCAGTTTGAGCTGCATACATTACCAGTTAGAACTTTTATCTTTCTACTGAATCCAGTTTGTAGTATATGAAGATATCTGAATAGAGTCATTGAGTTTAATACTATGATGAAAATCATCAGGTGGTTGCAAAAGCTGTAGGAGATGGGGATGGCATGACAGTTTATGTTAGCACTGCTGATCCCCGGGAATCAGAAATCGTTCCTAGGGACGTATTACTGGCTGCTGTTAAGCGATCAAAGGCACGTGACAGGACCATGGCAAATAAACATCACCAGAAGATTATTGATTCAGGATACCGGTTGCCTATCTGATTCTGATTGTGAATGAATTAAATTTTATCTGATATTCTTCATACTCAGTTGCTAATGGGTGGTATTGTTGTTGACAGAGTCATTAATATTCAAAATGAAGAGATCCTTGCTCGAAAGTATCGCATTCGACTAAGGTAATACATCTGCTTAATGAATTTCAATATTCTGGTACAGTGATTGATAGTTAGGCAAAGTGAATAGGGGTATAGACGCACCAGAGATGGAAATGCGGTATGGGAATGAGGCAAAAGAAGAGTTGGCTAAGCTTGTTCAGGGGAAGTGTTTGAGAGTGCTAGTATACGGAGAAGATCGATATAGGCGTGTTGTTGGTGATGTATACTGCAATGGCATATTTGTGCAGGTACTATTTTATTTAGCATGGTTTCTGTGTTATTAAGTCGGAGCCAAGTAGTTTTCTTATCTCTCTGTTAAACAGGAAGCAATGCTCAAGAAAGGGTTTGCTTGGCATTTTAAAGCCTTTGATCAACGCCAGGAATTCGCAACTGTGAGTATCTGACTATCCTTAATCATTCATGAAGTTTGTTGTGTTGATTCTATATCTTTGTACTTGTGTGATTCTAGTGGGAGAGAGAGGCTCGAGAAAAGCGAGTTGGCTTGTGGGCAGATGCAAACCCTGAGGAGCCCTGGGAATGGAAGAGAAGGAATAAACGACAAGGGTGATAATATTGACTTGATGGAAGATAAATCATGGCAGATGGAGGAAGATACAGCAAAGAATCATCTGTAAAATGTTTGGAGTACCGTAAAATGAGTATTGTAAAATATGTGTTGACAAGTTAAGTATGGAATCCCTGTGTTCTAATATCATTCTTAATATATAGACCTGTGTTCTAATTTGAAAGCACTAAACTCACAAGTTCTCAAAAATAAGATCCGAGAAATACCATGCATGAACCAACAGTATAATTTTTCTAAAATACTAACGTCAATACAATTTCCAACGAGTTTCTCAGTAGCAAATAACCGAGTAATCAACTGAAGAAACAAGTATGCGAACTTGCTATGATCGTAGCAATCTATGATAATGTAAAAGAAGCAAAATGAAACTAGGAGAGGCAAGACGTAAAAGTAATTTCTCCATTGGTATGAACTTTGGCCGACTCAGGAGGCATGTTACAAATGGTCCACAGCTGTAGAAGAGAAACAGGTCAGTACATAACAATGTTCTATGTTCAAACTTCAAAAGAAAGCATCCCAAAACAATTATTCATGAGATTATATGGTTCATCATGGCATAACCTATCCTTCGGTTCGGTGGGGAGGAGGGGGGAGGGAATTGAGTCATCATGCCATAGAAGAATAAGAAAGCACCAGATAACCAGTTTAGCCTCAAAGGTCTCCCCAGTTAACCCTTCCAAATCTCTAACACAAAATCCCCATGCATGTACATATGGTGGAAAAACGAGATGAGAAGCACAAGGACAATAATTAAGAAAAAATGGTACAAGCACTGTAGCAAAGTTGGCCCTTACCGACGAGACTCACACAGCATAAGAGGGACTAATGTACGCCATCTAAAGTGTAAACCAATCTGAAATAGTTTATTGACAATGCAAACTGAAACCTTAAATACTTATGGCAACCAGAAGAGGATAAGATTTACGATACCATCTGCAAAAGATAATTTGATCGAATATTTGAAAATAAGAAGAAGAATAGTAAGAATTCAAATCACGTGTATATACACGGGTAATTCTGACAGGAAATTAGCTAAGATGGATCTATAAACGACAGAGTAACTTAGCATTCTCAAGTTCTTCAGAAGGAAATCTAATAAGCAATCCTAGAACAAGCATGCAACTGAGAAAAAAAAAAGGAAGAAATTCAGAGAAAAGTCAAGAGTAGAAATATATAATGGAATGCCTATGATGTTTTGCAGTTTGGTATAAGCCAAACTGCAACATCATAGCCTCAATGAGAGGGGTTAACTCCTATATTTTGCAGTTTTGTATAACCAGGACTGCAAAACTATTTCTATAATGGAATTTAACAACATAAGATTCTGCCAATGAATCAAACTGATTCTCTTAATTAAGCATCTTTAGCAACGCATCAGAGACAGAGCAACATAAAGCAATGAATACATGACTACCACTACAGCAACAGTTAAAACAGGCAATTGCAAAACAACACAGGATATGAAACAGCATAAAGGGTCAGAGAAAAGGGAATACAAGGGAAGGATGAGACCTTTTGAACATCTTTGGGGACACCATAGCCACTGCAATACATCTAACCAACAAGGACGAGCATGGCGCTATCTCCCTTCTTGGCCACCTAGAGTGCCGCTTCAAACCACGCCTTAGCTAACTTCGAGACCACCTACGCCAGTGGCCATCCGATCCCGGCCGTCCCATCTGGACCCCACTTGGTCTCTCCTTTTCCCGGGAAGGAACTCGGGATATGGGTTTTACAGTTTTACTTGCCTTGGCTTTTGGACTACGTGCGACGAGACTATCCTCGCAAATTTCTGGAACTTGGTCGCACCGAGGATTGATTTTCCCATTAAAAAAAGGGAAGACCGAAAGAAAAAAAAAGCAATGGATTTGCACCTGCACTTTCGTCCTAGTAGCAATAGCTATCCGGTACATTCCTTTTCTTGGGTTGGGTTCGAAAACTGAGCCTTACAAATATGTTAAAAAAAAAAAAAAATGCAATGGATTTGCAATGCTTTCCTTCTACTACCTTCTTCTTCCTTTCTTTCTCTTTTTCTTTTTCATTTTTTTTTTTCAATCTCTATATATGTTGCGGTACGTTTCTCCCTTGCGTCGGGAGATAAAGAAGCAAGGCTTTGCGCTTTCATTTTTTTTTTCTACATTGTTTTTTTTTTATT